CAACCGTATATAATAAAGTTATTTTAAAGTTATTAAAATCTCTATTTTTTTAGAAATAATCTGAAAACATAATCTGAAATCGCTATATGCATCGTTTGTGCTTTTATGTAGCGCTTGGCACAATTGTGTTTCTGTTTTATATATTACAAATAATAATAACAAATAATAATTTTCATTGTTTTTCTTTAATTATACATATAAAAATATTTACTACTTTCATTCATACTTTTATATTTTGTCATTATCTTAAATTTAGACTTATTTTTATTTTACGCGAATAAATATATTCTTATTTGTTTATATTGTCTTTCTACACTAATTCCTAAACGTACTTCATAGCATAATTATTTTTTAATTTGTTTAAGATGCATTTATTTTGTAACAGATTTATCAATTTTTTATTGTTTTTTATAAATATTAAAATAATTATGTTATTATATATTATTTAGCCATTCTAAAGAATACTCCTATTGTTTTGAGAAAAGTCATGTCAAAAAACGTGAAAATTAAGTAATAATATTACTCTTAAAATACGTGTTTGTGATATAAGAAGTGATAATAATTTTATTAATCGTATCATCATTATAAAATTATCATAAAATATGTTATTGTTATTGTTTATCTTTATTATGTTATTGTTTATCTTTCGTATCGGAACGTCTTCCAAACGTGACATTTTTTAAGCTTAAGTGCAAAAATAGGTATCAATAAATCCAATATATAAATACTAGATTTGCAATTATAGTCAGTAAAGTCACTTTGTTATAGTGCGTTAAAGTGTTCTAATGTATGTGTCTATTGTATATGTATATGTCTATTGTATATGTATATTTCTATAGAAAAACAAATTAATAATGATTTTTAATCCAATTAATGTTATCAGGCTTTTATTGGCCTCCATAAGTTCGATATATCTTATGGAAACGCCAATAATTGAAACAAAAATAGAATTGAAAGAAAACATCCAAAAATTATTATTAGATAGTATTTTTTATCACAATGGATTGGAAATAACAGAAAAAATGTGTCTCGATTTCCAAGAACATTATAAATTGCATACTTTTGAAATAATTGAGGATGATGAGGAAGCATGGAGCGAAGATAATTTAAATATTTATGAATGTTTGAATGATAATGTGCACTTTGATAGTTCTTATAGTGGCGAGCTGGTGGATATTGGCGAAACTACACTAACAATGAAGATAATGTAAATGATGAATGAAAAAGAGAAATCGCTCTTTAAAATTTGTATAGTATAAATTTAGAAGAGTGTCATCCGAACGTCAATTGGAACGATGGAAAGAACAATTACAATCACATAGAAATCGTATGGGAAAATTATCCTATATTTTCCAATTTACCCATAATAAATTTACCGCAGCTGTTCAATCAGACCATATAATTCATGATGTTGATTTAAAAACGTGAGCTCTACAGGCTCAACAAGAAATAAGAAATTAAATCCTATGTTTAAAGCATCTGATAGTTGGATAGCAAAATTCAAAAAGTCCCATCGAATTGTTTCAAGAAAAATTATAAAGTTTGTCATTAGAAAAACACTGAAAAATTCAGTTGATCTGCAAAAAAATAATCGAAGATTTTTTAAAAACAGTGAAACCTCTCACTGAACAGTTCGGATCTGAAAATATTTAATGCAGATCAAAGTGGATTTCAATTAGAAATCCATTCCAGAAGATCACTATCTAAGAGGGAATAAAGACAGTAGAGCATTGTACAATCTGTATCATTAACAATCCATTCATACACGATAGAACCAATAATATCGTATGATGGTAGAGTGTTATTCTCTTTATTATATTACAAAAAGCTAATATGTTTGAGCCAAGAGTGAAAGAAATTTTGTTCAGACTAATAAATGTTATTGTGAAAGCATAAAAAAAAATCTGCTAGTAAAATGACAGCAGGTATACACAAATTTCAATTGTATCTTTTATAATTATTTTAGCAATCTAATAAAGTTTAATGTTATTAATTTAAATTATTGTTTCGTACAGATTATTTTAAATCTTGATTATCAAAAGGTATTACTAGGAAAATACAATCATTGGATGTTTATGGATTCTGGATTTGGAAAAATTTTGCTAAAAAATTTTCTGACACCATTTTATTATTGGAAAGTGATGTAAATTTACATCAAATAATATAATAAAATTACAACATCTTTGATACATCTTTGATACATAATCAATTATCATCTACTCAATATTACAACTTATTTAAATAATTAAATATTCGTGGTTTAAAAGTGGATATACGAATAGAAGACTGGAAGAATTTAAAAATCCAGTAAAATTTAGTTTTGAAGAAATTTTAACAACATGTGACATCGAAAATTGCAACAAGAGCTGTAATAAGATATTCTTGGTGTAAAAGATCATTATGTTTAAAGCATTTTTTTGTGGAATATCATTATTATAATATCTATAATGATATAAATGAATGATATAAATAATATAATAATAATAATATAATATATAAATTATATTATATGTTATATTATTATTATTATATTATTTATATCATTCA